GAGGTAAGATACTAGTTAGATTTGCATGAAATAAAAATTAATCATAAGAAAAAAACAGACCCCACTAGCTGAGTGATTAGAAAAACTGGAAGTTACAATCAAGAAAGTCTTCCAGAGAGGGGTGAGGAATGGTGAGAAGAGAGAAGGAGAGATAAGAATCCAAGGTCTGGGGCTAGGGCTGTAGCTCAGTGGTGGGCGCCTGAAGAAGAAGTCCAAGGTCTGACTAGTAGGAGTCTCAGGAGGGAAACCACCACCACCGTGGAACAAACTACCAAGTCCGTGGCCCGAGAGCCAGAGCGCTGCACATACACGTGGGTGTATGCTGTGAAATTTCAAAATAGGAAAGAATATAAAAGATTCTTCGGGCTTCCAGAAGAAGAGCTGTCCTCTGCCAAGATCAGCTACCAGCATGACCTTCAGCTGTGACGGCCAGCCCTGGATGCTGCAAGGCTGTCATAGGTCAAGGGCTATAACGGCCACCGGGTGAGGATGGCCCCACATGGGAGCCCATTGGGAGTCTCAGTGACAGTGCAGCGTGACACGGGCTTTCGAATGTACAGGGCAATTGTGTCGTGATTTTGAATATGACCCACCAGGCCACTCTGGGTCCACCCACTGGGAAGGGAGAGGTGTGATAACAAATCCACTTCCATTAAAACCTGCGTTCGGCCCAGTGAGTTCAGCATTTCCTTCCCAGAAGCCCATCTCCCTTCCCTGGCCCCATCTCTGTTCATTTTATTTTTCTTTACCTTCTTCTACCACACATAGGATTCTTTTTAAAAAATATTTATTTAGTGGTAGTTGGACACAATGCCTTTATGTATTTCTTTATTTTTGTGTAAGGCTGAGGATCAAACCCAGGCCTTGCATGTGCTAGGCGAGCGAGCACCCTGCCACTGAGCCACAACCCCAGCCCCACAGGTAGGAGTCTGTCTTTTTGCTACTTCTTTCTTTTCTTTAGCCCTGGAGGTTGAACCCAGGGCCTCACGCAGGCTAGATGAGCACCCCACCTCTGAGAGCACCCCACCTCCAGGCCACACCACAGCCTCTCACAGAGGCAGACCACGATGGAAGAGGCGCACCCAGGGTAGAGGGTGGAATGGAGCTGCAGTCTGAATTCTGAAAGGGTTCATGGAGCCTCCTGGAGGTGTGTGGAGCCGTCCCCATCTGTCCAGCAGTCCAAGCCCAGCGCGCTCTCTGAACCAAGTGCAGGGAACTCAAAATATTTCCATCTGTCCTTCCTTATCTGTAGCAAATTGATTTCACAACTTGGCCAGATGTTAAATGCCAAGCCCCACATAAAAATGCTTGCCAATCACCACTAAGCCTGAAAATGTCTCTCTCCTAACAACAGGAAACAGGAGTTAGAGGCCCCTGAAGGGAGAAATAAACCTGTGGTAACTAGAGCAGGACTGCAATCCATGTTCCTCAAAACCCGAGGGAGTCCTGTGGGCCAGGCACCAGGGTCGATACCCAGTGGACACATGGGGTTGAGGGTCCCTGCCCTCGGGCAGAACCCAGGCCAGCAGAGGAGGACCCTGTCCTGCGCAGTGTGTGAGGACAAGGAGTCACAGCAAGGAAGACCTGAGTCCCGGTCAGTCGGTGTGTGCGTCCCAGCTCATGAGCTTTGCAGGAGCAAGCATATTTCAGTCGGGATTTCATGCCCTCACGTGACAATGGGGACTTCATGGACAGAAGGTTCAGCCAAGTTTTCCCGAGTTGCTGTCACCTGAACGCCTGGTTTTCTCTGGACAGGTGGCGGCTTCTCCTTCTGTGTTATGCTCCTGGTGCCTGCAGCCCTCTGTTCTTGGCTCCTCTGAAAGCCACCACATGGGCCTCCAGGGCTTGGCCTGCACAGGCCTGTCTCCCCTGGCTCCCCCGGCGAGTGCCTGGAACTAGGACTGGACTGGGTGATGGCCAGGTTCGCATCTTCTCCTGACCTGTCCCTTGGCTCAGCTTCCTGTCTCCACGCCCGTGCTGGCTGCAGCAAGCAATCCGCGCAGTTATCCTGTCCCTTGGAGCCTGGCTCTTGCAGAAGTGAGCTCACTCTACACTCCACACTGGCTGCACCTCCGCCTTCTGGCCCCCTACTGGGGGTAGTGTGTGTGTGTGTGTGTGTGTGTGTGTGTGTGTGTGAGAGAGAGAGAGAGAGAGGGGTAGGGGGGATGCGGGGGTGGGGTGGGGGGCTAACCTGTCTGCTCTTGGACTCTTGTCTGTTCCCCTGAGTTCAACCATTCCCCTCCAGAGTCTGGGTTTCTTGGTAGTTTCAGGGAGGCGCAGGCCTAGAGCTAGGTAGGTAATACACACAAAGGCATTTCAAACCCAGAAGGGACAGAGGGAGGGGGATTAGCACCGTGCTCTCCACTTGTGAGGTTGTTGTCAGGCGCAAGGGGCAGATCCAGGCTGTCACGCCAAATAGCAGGTCAAATGTGCAGCGTGGCCCCCAGTGCAGTGTGGGCCATGGCTAGTTTCTGAAATCGTGAAATGAATTTTAAGAAAGAGTTGTGACCATCTCTTAGAAGCCTTCCTGGATGCCATCCTCAAACCCAAGCACAGATTTTGCTATGTGCCATATTTACCCACAAATATAAAAAGCCCATTTTTGTTCCCTGTGAAACAAAAATAAGCTTCTATAAAGTCATTTCATAAACTCTTGGCCACAGTTGTCCTGGCACACCTACTGTGCAACGTGGGGTTGAGATTCGCTCCTGGGGCTCGCCCCTGGGTGACAGGTGCCATCTCCCTGGCCCCTCGGGCTGCACCAACACAACGTGAGAACCCCCTGTCCTCTCACCTCCGTGACCACGTGCTCTGATGAGCTCACCCCTTCTTGGGCCAGTGCCCGCGTCCCCACCACACCCCCTGCATGCCGTATGAAACACACGTGTGGCAGGACTTATCACAAGCAGATGTTTGGGATCAGGAGAGGGAAACAGATTTGGCTCTGGGGCAAGTTACACAAAAACTGCAAAACGTCACCATTAGCATTGTCTTGCCCCGGCCGGAGCTTCCCTCTCTGGGCTGCCCTCTTCAGTCCTGCCTGGCTTGAAGGCTTTGGTGTGAGCCCCTCTGTGGTTTCACCCCGTGGAGCAGGGGCATGGAGAACCCTAACCAGGGAGCAGTTCAGAGGAGGCAGGTGACGAGGATGTGCCTGGCTGTGACTCATTCTCCGTCCTGCTCTGGTTTTCCAGCCCAGTCTCCCCGAGGCTGTGCAGAGCCCCTGCCCTCTGGCCTCCCCTGCTGGCTGGAGCCTCCCCCAGCCCCAGCTCTTGTTTTCTGTTCCTTGCACCTGCACTTTGTAAAACCACTTCCTGGTCTTTAAATAGCCAGTTCCAGAAGACTTATGTTCTGCAGTGATTCTTCCTGGGCCTCATTTTGAAACTCGATGCCTTGGTATGACCGCTTGTGGTCCCTTTCTTCTCTGGTAACTTCCCCGTGGCCTCTTGACTGACCCTTCACCTGAATTTCTTAGATCTGGCTCTTAGGTACACTTGACCTGTGAGCTAATTCATTTATTCAAAGAAGCTAAAACTGCTTTCTGGGTGCTAGACTCCCAGAATCCATGACTGACCATGACCGACCTGTTGATTTAGACCATCGGGCACGAGGGTTCCAACCGCCATAGGGTCTCAGGTTGCAGCCCTCTGGGCACACGTGCCTGTAGACTTCGCTCTAGCTACCTACCATGYGCAGTGCATTCTGACTTGTTTTATCCTTAAAGGACCTTTGCAAAGGAACTATAAACTTTGAGATCTGAACCCTATGAGGTACTGCTGTGGACTAAATGTTTCCCCCTCACCCATCCCAATGCACACGTTGGAATCCTACCCCCATGATGGTTTTAGAAGGCGGGTCTTCAGAAGGACAGAGCCTCAAGAAGGGAATTAACACCCTCATAAAAAGTTACCAGATGGGCTAGGGATGTAGCTCAGAGGCAGGGGCAGAGCTCTGGCTTAGTATACTCAAGGCCCTAGATGCCACACACACAAACACTAAGGCCAAATACACTGGTGCACACCTATGATCCCCGTGACAATAGAGGCTGAGGCAGGATGGCCTGGGCCATTCAGTGACACCATCTTAACAGACTGGAGATGTGGCTCATGGTAACGCACCCCGGGTTCAATCCCCAGGACCAGGGGTAAAACACTGCCCAGCTGTGGGAGGCCCTGAGTTTGATCACCAGCACCACAAAATGAACACATGAAAACAATCAAACACACACCCCACAGGTGGAGTCTGGCCCTGTCTCTGCTCCCTGAAGGACCCAACCAGGAAGAGGGCCTCTCACCCCAAGACCTGCCACAGCCTCTAGGACCTTGAGGAATTCATGTTTGTGGTGCACACCACCCCGTCTAAGGCAATCTGTTAATGACCCAAAGATGGACAATCCTTATCTCCAGACAAGAACAAAGGACAGCAAACTCTGAGGACAGGCCCTTGTCACTGTTTACGGACAGATCTTGGTTTACAACTAGGTTACAAACCTTGTATAAGGTACTTCAAATACCATTTAATTTCAATGCTTTAAATGCACAGGACAGAAATGAAAGTGAGAACTGTGTGAACCCTGAGAGTGCGAGACTGTGAAATCGCTTTCCCATGTGGCTTGTAGCCCAGAGTCCATGCTGTTCCTTCCTCCAGTACGTGCGTGCCTGGTGTCAGCTGCGACCAAGTGCTGTTCTACAAGGTCATGCATTAAGTCTGCCTAAAAGACAGCTACAGTACAGTTACACTAACAACTGCAAACACGTACGGAGTTCATTATCAGACACTGTGGTAAGTGTTTAAGTGCCTATTGGATCCTCATAAAAATTCTAAGATGGATTACCCATTTCATGCATGAGAAAACTAAAGCTCACAAAGGTCGATAATCTCCCCATACTCACCAAAACTTCTTGCCCATAAGTCCTATATAAAACACTGAAAAACATATTACACAATTTGTTTGTTATTATTTATTACAGTGTTTTGTTCACCAAAACAGAGTTATACACATGTTGATGGAGGAGGAAAGGCAGAAAGGATCAAATCTTTTTTCTTTAACAAAGGAGGCAATAGAAAATGCTTCATATGAACATGATAAGCATAATTTAAAATGATTACACTGAAGTTTTCAATTTAATGTTAACAGTTTGGTAAAAATATCTTAAAATGATTGATGACTTTAATCAAATTATATCAAATCACTTTAATTTGGTCCTGGAGTGCTGGGTTATAAGGTACTCGAGAGTCAACGTTCGCTGAACTACATGCCAAGTAAGTCCATGAACACGTCATGACGAGTAAAAGATACGCCCAAATGCGTAGCATACGAACTTCTTACAAAGTCAGTCTTTTCAACTTTTTTTGTGTGAAACATACTAAATGTATAAAGAAGTGATAAACATTTATGTACAAACCAAATAATTCAACTGTCCAACCCACACGTACACATCAGGAGCTTGCTGTGGGGACTCAGCAAGAGAGTGTGAAGATGTTGGGTGTCACCCCAGAACCTTATGTGAAGAAAGGTCTGCTCCAGCAGAAAGACCCTCAGAGAGGGGAGGCTGAAGGCGCCACCCTGGACTCGGGTGTAGGCGCTTCTTGTGGAAAATCTGAGAAGACCCCCCCCGAGTCTGGCAGAGGAGGGATAAGGATGATGAAGTACCCAGAAATAAAGGCCCACTCTCTCTCCAGGGAAACAGCATCCCCAACCCTCTCCCTGCAGCCTTCTCTTCCCTCCTGCAGGGAGGAGCATTAAACAGTCAACAGGGGTCAAGGGTTACAGCAGGGGTGCTGCACCCAGGAAGGCAGGACCCAGCAGGGGAGTCAGCAGAGAAGCTTCTGTGAAGGCTGCAGCCTCAGGCACAGGCCACTGAGGACTGAGACAGGGACACTACTCACTGCCGCCCGCAAACTCATCTTTCAGAAGTGAAGAGAAATACAGCAATCAGACTCTGAATTAGATCTTCTTTGCAGACCTGCCTTGCAAACAGTGTCAAATGAAAGTTGTTTGGGCAGAAAGACCTACACAAAGGAATGAACACTGTCAGGGAAGGAATACACAGAGGTAAAACACCTCTGATATGAATCGATCTGAAAGCAGAACGGCTGCAAGTAAAGCCAATACAGATGTGCTGAACAGCTACAGCATGTCCTGCAGAGTGAACTGAACAGCCTGCAAGGTACAGGCCACAGAGTGCCCACTCAGCTGCCTTGGGTCAGGTGAACAAGAACCTCGGGAAAGAACTCAAAGTATGATCCATGTATTCAGAGCAGATACAATAGAGTAATTTAAAAAAGGTCAACACAAGAAAAAGCAAGAAAATAGGCAAAAACAGATTAAGAACAGCCACGAACATGGAAGATGTCAGTAAGCAACTTAAATGCCAGTGCTCTATAAACAAGCTACACAGAAACAGACTGTCCATGTACACAGGGTAAGTCCCAGCCAGGAGCTGTCTACGGGAGACCCAGTTTGCACATAAAGATGCAGTCAAAAGAAAAAGAAGTCAAGCTAGTGTAAAGTAAAAGAAAGCCAAGAAGCTGCGCTAATTTTATACAGCAAGACCTCAGAACCAGAAAGATTATCCAGGATCAAAAAGAGGTATTACATAATTATGAAAGGGCATATTCTCCAAGTGGATATGATAAAAATATTCTGTACTAAAAATGAAAATGCAACATATCAAAATTTGTGGGATGCTATAAAAACAGTACTTAGACAAAAGTTTACAGCATTAAATATACTACTAGAAAAAGAAGAAAGGTCTAAAAGAGCAGAAATCAATGCAATTGCAACACAAAACAATAGTGAGAAATCATTAAAACTAGAGTTTGGTGCTTCAAGAAGACCAGTGCAATTGACAAGCCTCTAGCAAGTGAAACAAGAACAAAAAGAATAAACAAATTACCCATATCAGAAATGAAAGAGGGGTAATCACTGCCAATTCCATGGACGTAAGGATGTAATGAACAACTCTAGGCCCACACATCTGTTCATGTTCTCTTGAAAGGCAGAAGTGAAACTCACAGGAGACACATACAACCCAGATATCCCTATATTATCTGAGAATTGAATTAATACCCCTCCAAAATGGAGCATCGAGTCCAAATAGCTTCACTATACATATATCCTGCCATATACTTCAGGTTAAAATTACACCACTTTTCCATAATCTCTTCCAGAATGAGAAACAGTGGCTTATTAGTATAGCAACACAGTGACAGGAAGGAGGTGCAGAGGGGGTAACAGAGAGAAGCTACTTCCCACCTCATCCACTCCCAGGATAAGAATCACAGTAACAATGTTGAGAGAAAATGGAACTCTAAAGAGGCAACCATTCGACATTTGTGCATTTGGTTTGGAACAGAATGTGCACAACAGAGGAGAAATGAAAAACTTGGCTCCAGGCCCAGGCAACCCCTCATCAGGTGACCTTTAGCCTCTGTGTATAGTATAGTAACGGGGTTGAGGCGCAGACCATATAGATAAGGAGTTGGATCTCTTATAGATAAGGGGTTGGGGTTGGGAAGCCACTAGAGAAGTCTGAGCAGAAGAGGGACATGATCTGACCTATGTTTTAACAGGGCCACGAGACTATGTGTGGAGAAATTCCATAAGAGGTCAGGGACGGCAGGAGGAAGACAGGTTCAGGGRCAACTGCATTATGTAGACAAGACAGGCTGGCTTAGACTGGATGAGAGTGGCAGTAGGGTACATGGACAGAGGGACAGCACAGGACCTTCTGACACACTGCATGTGACGTGTGTAAGAGAATGAGTCAAACACAGGAACAGTTCAGGTCAGAGCACAGGAGTTACTGAGACAAACAAGCTTCTTTAGAACTTAAAGAACATTACACACAATGACAGTGATTATTTCATTCTCTACCAAAGGCCAGGTTTTTAACAGATTAAAATCTATCATGACGTGAGGTATTTTGTGACTTCCAACAATTTTAACTCTGCAAAACTCACTCATTGGAGGTCAGATTACAACACTGGAAGTTTTAATCAGAAAAGGTTTTATTATAAGAAACAATGACATCAGGTAAAAATGCAAAAATTGTGCAATTACGGCAAAATGTTTAAAAATATCTACACATTTGCCCCCATAGGACTACAGTACTTACTACATACCTGAGCACTGAACATCAAATGCCATATTACACTGCTTCACACAGGGAATCCGATTCCTTACAGATCACATCCACCTTTTCTCATGCACCAGTGAAATCTGCCTGACGCTTAAGCATCAACTTGTAAGATAACAGAAAACAAAGATGGAAAATAAAGAATACAATTTCTACTTTCCTATGACACAGTTACACCAAGTCCAGTTTTCTACGTGTAAAAAATACATAGGAAAGCGCTACATACATTCTTCAAATGCAGAAACACAGCTAAAGTGGGACACGTCAGACTTACCCCTAATCTGTGGCAGCCACTGTGTCTTTCACTTATATTCTCATACTGTGAAAATGCCACCAAGTGTCTACACGTTGACCCCCACAGAGCACTAGGTTTTCTAGAACCTCTTCTGAAGCCATTTTAAACAGTGGCAAAACATCGGAGCTATACAACATAAACAGTTCTCCATATAAAACCCAATAGGTATTCTGCTGCTCTAGCAAACTTCAAGCCTTGGCCCTGACACACCACACTTAGATCATACCCTTGATATAAACTGTTATAGCAAAAGGATCAACCATGGTAGAGATCCACAGAATAAATCTGCTGTAGAATGAACCACAGCTTTGTTCTCTTCTGGATCCTACGGCACACAAACACTCAATGTTCTGTCTCGTTTTCAAGTAACATATTTTTCTAAATACAGAAGATTGTCAAAAAGCGGAAGAAAATCTTAGATACTCAACAAAGCTTGCAAAATAAATTTCATGGTTATCTCTTGCAGAACTGGTTGTATTTCCCCCTGTCCTCAGCAATGTAAAACTGTAAAAAAAAAAACCTGGAAATAACCAAAAGATAAAATAAAAGACAAAGAAACCTGGGGGTCGGGTAAGATATTGGCTGACAACGCTTGTCAAGAGATCACAGATGCACTGTTGAAGCCAATAAATAGAAGCCACATATCTAGCTTTCTAGGACTAGATTTTAAGATGTTAAGTCTACAAAGGCCATCCACTTGAACTTCCACTTCAGAAAACTGTCCCTGCTTATAGAGGTCTTTGTAAAGCAGTTTGGAAAGTTTCTGAAAAACGAGGTATGTGATGCAAAGAGGCAATGTTTTAAATTGTTTTCACAGTATCATATTACAATTTGTGCAAGAGTGTTTAATACAAACCACGCAAGTTTTCTTTCTTCAAGAAAATCAAACTGTTCTGACTGAGGACAGACGGGGCTGTACTTAAATCCTGTATCAGACATTCTAGGCAGAGGCAAGACGACGTTCCAGTCCAGATACTTGTCTCAGATCCACAAACAAGTCTGTCCTTCATGTCAGTATTTCCTAACTCACTGTTAGAAATTCACCAGTTAAATGTGAAAAATGACCTCGTACCATAGCCATGGTTCTATTCTCTCACTCTTCCTTGATCACCTTCAGCTAGAACGAGTATTTCAATGTAAAGTATTCATTACTGTTAAGTGCAAAAGGAAAATGATGAGGTTGTAATTGTAATATGAAATTTTAAAAGTCATTAAACTATTAAACCACTGGAGGGATTTTATGTTTCTGAAAAAACAAAATTTTAGAAGTAGATGTAAATCTTCACATTATGAGTTAACTTTCACTGGACTGACAATCTGGACAGGCAGAGGCTGGAAAAGAAGGTAGGGCAATAAAATGGCCCCTGTTAGTGCAAACTTGGTACAACAGTCTGACTGTTCTCCCACGGAATCCAGTCGGACAGTACCTGGCCATACCTTACCACAGTTAGCAAACCCTGTGAAATCACAAGAGGTCGACAGAGTACTACGGCCAAGAAACTCACGTATTCATGTCAAAGGAGAGCGCAGGCTCAGACCATTTCAACACTGTGTAGCTAGCTACACACCCAGATTAATTTATGCTAGCACCAGCCACCTGCCAATCTGAGCCCTTTCCAGGATTTAAAAAAATGAGACAGTGTTAGCACTTGAAGAAGTTTCTGACAGAAAACTGCCACTTAAAACTTTAGCTTAACTTAAAGGTACGTGGGAAACATGAAACTGTGGAACCAATAAGTTCTCTCTGAGACTAAGTTTCTCCTTCAGTCAGCTCTAGTGACAACGCATTTAAATCTCAGTCCACTTGAAAACAGTACACAAAAATACACATGTAAATACATATAAATATTAAGAATGAGGATCTAAGTTAGTGCTTCTGTGTTAGAGGTCACAGCTAAACAACTCCTAGTGATATTGCCTCAGATTGTTACCCGTATTTAAAATAAAGAGTCAGGTCCACCTGGTCTGTGTGTCTCCACCCAGGGACACCCTAACTGCGCTGATGGAGTGCATAGTTGTCTCGACTCCTCTAGTACCTTAGTGGCTATCACAAAACTCTAGGATGACAGGTTACTTAAATGCCAGGGGGGAAATGCTGATAATTGCACTTTGTCACCTTTACCTTACTGAAATGAAAGCATCAGAAAAGCGAAAGCGAGTCCCTCTAGGTTGTGAGCTTAGAAGCCCCTATCTCTGTGCACAGAACTCGGCTTTCTTAAAGACAGACAGCGCTTCTTAGGACAGGCTTCCTGGCCCGAGAGGCCAGAGACGCTGCGAGGCCCGCTGCTCTAGAGCACTTTCTGAAGACACTGAGGGTAGAGTTTGGCAACAGCACATTCAAAGTGCCGGCCCAGGTCCCAGAGCCGATCCGGAGTCTCGTACACCTTCACCCACTGGTCGGCCGCCTCATCATACTGGTACAGGGAGTTCTTCCTGCTGGTTCTGAAGACGTGCTCCTCAACAGTCACTTGAGTAGCTCGGACAAACAGGTGAAGTTTATTCTGGAAGAGGACCAGCTTGAGGTACGGGTTGATGGACTGATCGCACGGGAAGTCCTTCTTGCGGGTCCACTTGTTCAGCTCAATGTTGTAGGCCTCCACGGTGAACATGCGCTGGTGATTCCCACTGGTTCCCGCCACATAGTAGATGGAGTCCTCGTACACCGCAGCCAAGCCCTGGATTCGAGGCACCGTCATGGGGGTTAGAAACCCCCAGTAGTCTTTTTGAGGCTCATAGAAGAGGAAAAATTCTCCTAGAAAGAGAAAACAAAAATGTGTACATTTTTATGTTTATTTTTGGTCATAGGCTGTTGTTCCAACCACTGGAGATAAAGGAGCATGATTTTCCAGATATTTCATTTTCTAAAATAAACAATGTAACAGATCCTGTTATGCTGGGGTGTTTCTTCTGGGGAGGTGTAATGCGTTTCTCTGGCTTGATGGCCAAATAACAGTGAAGAGCTTGGTTCCATTTGTTCCAACCAATGTGTGTCACTGAAAGTTTATTTTAGGCCAGCTCTGAAACAGCATTATTAGGAATGCTCAGTCAGTAAGGCCAAACATATTCATACAGCTTACTCATACACACTGCTACCTATTTCTAATTAATTAAAAGACCAGTTCAGACTGGTGCTTATAGGTCACTGACGTACTTACCTGAGTGCTCCTACAATGCAGAGATAAATTTCAACAAGAGAAAACCTTGCTTTCATAAGACAGATACACATGCACTGTTTATGGAGTTGACAGAGTGAATTTGGCAATAAACAGTATGCCAAAAGAGACTGAAAATACGAAAACGTCTATTAGAATTAGTGAAGACTTACAAGAATTTTACTAACATTTGTACAAAATCTTGTAGATGTTTCAGATCTGGGAGTGTCTGCATACACACAAGTTGATATCTGGATGCTCAAGTTGTTTGTACATTATGACTGTACAATTCATTTCATTTTTTTAATGAAAATAAGCTTTGTTTAAATTATAAATACCTGCTTTGAAATTAAGCTTCCCCTTGAAATCTATTTTAAACTGGAGTCACTCTCCTCTGATGTTCAGCAATGACATCTGAACCTCGTTTTCCGTAGGTCCCAGCTTTAATCGCTTGCCTAATTCACAACTATCAATCAGAGGAATCAAAACTTTAATGTGTGCAAATTCTCCACAGTTTTTTTTTACAGGAAGGAAAAGATGACACACATAAAAAGTTGATTTTTTAAGATCTAAAGTCCTCTTTAATAAAGTGAAATCAATAAGCAATTAAGAAAAACCCCATGGCCTCAGATTCTTCTTATATAAAATACAGCCTGGGATTAAATGATGCTCACTCTGAAGTCCCATTAATTCACTGCTGTTTTGTTGCAGTAGCTGCATTTACACATGACCTTTACATTCCTCTGGCTGTCCTATGGTGAACCCTACCTCTGTCCATGAACCAGTGAGCCACAGGCACACTTCATACCAGGCCACATACATTCTACATTCTTAGGTTCCATTTTTTGGCAAGACCAACCAACCCAAATCATGCTGTACTTCTGTGTAACTAAAAGAAGGCACTATTCCTTCTGGAAAATTAACCTGAAGCCGAGGTATTCAGGCATTTTCAGGAGGTTTTAGGTAAAGGGTTGGAGCAAAGACCATGATTTTAAAAAATAGGTAGATAAGGGCTTAAAAATCAGGTCTATCTTCATGATAGTGGCCTCTCTTTCTGTTTTATTAAAGCAGTAGTGGAGGAAAACATTTACATATAACCCATTAAGAAACACAGAAGAAAAAGAAAGGTTTTGGTCATATCTATGTTGCACTCAGCATTCAAGCAACTGAAAGGTGTAAGAAAAAAAAATTGAGAGTCTTGGGCTGGGGATGTGGCTCAAGCGGTAGCGCATGCGCTGGGCGCTGGGTTCGATCCTCAGCACCACATAAAAATAAAGATGTTGTGTCCACAAAAACTAAAAAGTAAATATTTAAAAATCCTTTCTCTTTAAAAGAAAAAAAAAAATTGAGAGTCTTGTTCTCACAGTCAGAATCCCGTTTCCTCTTCCTGTTGCTCTACTTAGCACCAGTCCTCAAAACAAAACACAAGTCACTCCAATAGTAGCAACAGTAAGAAAAAGGTGACATCTGAAAGTTTTTCAGAGCAAGGAAATTGAAAACAACCTGTCATGAAARGCAACACAGTGGAATTAAAACCTGAAAGCTATAATTTCAACCTCTTTGCAATCAATTTTCATAACTCTGGCAATGATAAGGCGTATGCAAAACCCTCTGGTAACTGAGAACATAACTATAGTTAAAGCTTTGTCCTTTTTTCTTTTAAACCAATCCAGTAAGTTCCATAAAACAGTAGTTGTTACATCTCTTGGTCATTCATATTATTAAAGAATAAAAATTGCCACATATTGACATTATTGTTCAAAATCTTAAAACTACTCTGAAATAGTCCTTCCAAAACTCTGCACTGTTTATTACCGAAGACTTCGAGAGTACTTATTCTATATGATAACACGGGCAAAAAACTTGGAGGATCAATGTAGTAATGGAAAAATACTTTTAAGCATTTTAAACTTTTTGGTTCAAAAGTTTACTTTCCTTAAAGGTTCTCCACAGAACAGACTGTTCTAATGGTTCATGATGAGGAAGGCAGAGAAGCCTCGACCACCAGGAACCGTCAGGCACAAGGAGGGCACGCATGTGCTACCCTGCATTGGGGCATGAAGGCCCGTGGTCACCTACCCTGTAAGACATAGATCTTCTCTCTATACTCCACGGCACTGTGGAACTCCATGGCGACAGGCATTGCACACACAGTCCTCCAACAGTTCTCTCTGCTGTCATAGCATTCCACGGACTTCAGGGAGTTACGCCCGTCACCCTCGTAAACGCGACCTCCAATGGCATACATTTTACCACAGCAGTACACCAGTCTGCAGCCTATTCTGGCTCGAAGCAAGGATGGTTTGGACAGCCATCTGTTGGTGGAATGGTCATACATCCAGAAATCGTTTTCTGCCTTGTGGTCAATGGAGACCTCACTGCTGCTTGGCCTGTACCCTCCTGCAATGTAAATGTCATTATCTGGCGATACCAGAATCCCAACTTCTCTCAGGTCATTCGGTGGTTTGCATAGTTTAAACACCCTTCCTGTGGCAATATCCAGACAAGGCACTGTTTGCTTCTTTATTGAGTGTTTGTGGGCAGCATCGAAACATATGATCATTTCAGAAGCAGTCATCCCCAGCCTTTGAGTGCAGCCATTTGTGTTGGACGGTGCCCTTTCCACACAGCCTGTGGCGATGGCCTGTGCAAACTGAGGTGGAATTTTCTCTATGAAGGTATCTTCCATCAGAGGAAAACGTATGCATTTGGCAAAAATTTCTGGAAGGTGCAATTCTCGTTCATTCTGTTCATGTTCAAACCACCGCACAATGCTTTCATACACATGTTCTTCTCGGTCCACATTTAGGTCGTCGCTGTCTAGAATGCTTATCAGCTGGTCTTTTGTCAGCTGCAGAAACTCCTGTTCTTTGGTGACACACAGAAACTTTTTACGAATATATTCTTTTGATCTGTCTCCAAGTTCCTGATGACCATAATGATCAGCAAAGATAAAGACCCCAATGGAATTCTGTGGGTCCAGATGACTGACCATGTACTGAGCACACTGGTCCTGGATAGATGGGATCTGGAAGATGCTAGCGGCAGTGAACAAGGCTTGGACGTTGGCCTCTGTCAGAACAACTCTGGAGGTGTAGGCATAATTCAGTACTAAATCCATTGATTCAGCTTCAACACCAACTATTCGAATTTCTTTCTGGGTACTTTCTGTAAGKCCACTAGTGAACATGGATCTAAGAAGGAGAGAATGGTTAGTATTTTATGCAAATAAAAATTACAGTGACAAATTTTTTAAAGTATAGAGTTATCACAAAGATAACCTTTTGAAACTAAATGAATATATTCCCTTATATTCCAAATGGGGATAAAAACTGACCATCTACTAGGAGTTAGTCTGGCTGATCCCCCAAACCTACTGTTCAGATAGTCCACTTGGTGCCATCTCAAAATATGCCACACTGCAGAGTGTTCAGGCTGAAGTCACTTGAGGAGCTGTTAACTGTAGGAACGGTCACTGCCTAACTTTCCCCTACATGTAGCAGCCATGGAGATGCTTTGGGAAGGAATTTCCTTCACATACCAAGGCTGGAAAACAGCCGTGATCACCGAGGAATTGGGCAACTGTGGCTGCAGCAAGCTGAACAAACAAGCTCTGAAGTGTCCCTTATCTTCGAGGAGCTTCTCCCACCCTGTAGAATGCTCAGTAACGCCCTAGGATTCATTAACCTGATCCAGGCAGCCATCCACCTTGTATTCTCTCACAAACTTATTGTTCCTTTAAGGAAAAAAAGCATCATGCTTTGGCCATTTCTTTGACTTCACCTTTATGTGAAGATTCCCATGTTCAGGGAAAATTAGGAAAACTTCCATGCTTTCCCCTCGTTAATTAGTTGTTGTGTTAACTCCAGACCCAGCTGAAGAGCCCACAAAAGAATTAAAGCTGGTGGAGGCGGGACAGGGGATACAGCTCAGTTGGTAGAGTACTCAATGCCCTAGGTTCAATCCCCAGCACAATAATAGTAATAATAATAATAATAACAGTGATAGAGGGCATCTGTCTCTCCCTCACAGAGTCAATGATGAAAAATGGAGAATATTTTGAGTCAAGCAAAACCAAGATGTGACCTGGCCCATTTCAGGTTCCGACTCCCCTTGGTTTCTAGTTGAGTTGCCTTATGAACCTGACATCTTAGATTGCCCTGCCCCAAAAGGTTTAAGAGCATCAGTATGAGACAGTGACTCAGGCAGACAGTCTAATAAAGCTTCTGTCCCACTGGACATCACAACTAGTACCCAAAATATATCTCTAAAAATTTCATCTTAAAAAACAAAAAACAGGGGCTGGGGATGTGGCTCAAGTGGTAGTGCGCTGGCCTGGCATGCGTGCGGCCCGGGTTCGATCCTCAGCACCACATACAGACAAAGATGCTGTGTCCGCCAAATACTGGAAAATAAATATCAAAGTTCTCTCTCTCCCTCTTTCTCACTCTCTCTCACTCTTTCTTTAAAAAAAACAACAAMAAAAAAAACAAAGAGGTTCAAAAGCATATATTCTCTCCCCACACTTTCTGAAACTAATGTTCCCTTAATGTCTACAAGATTTTTAAAGACGACTTCACTTACCCTTTGACATTGTGAAGATCTTTCCTTAAAAGATATACTTCATCTCAGTTAGAATTACCATGTCTCACCTACTTATATCCACACATAAGTAAAAATTACATTAAGGTTCATATAATGCCCTTTTCTAAAGAGAGTTTAACATTTGACACAACAATAATTCTTTGGAGTTAATTTGTTTTTTAATCCCAAACTTGACAATTTTTTTCCCTCAAAATTAAAATATTGGTGCATTCATGGACTTTCTTGGTCAAAACATTAAGTAGTTAAATAACTGGCTTGTGAAGTAGAAATCATTTTCAAACTTCATTACCTTTCTTTCCTTTAAGGCTTCATTCAAGGTTATTCATAAATGAAATACAAAAATCAAATCCAAACCTCTTTAAAAAGCCATTTGAAAAAAGATCTGTATACTATTTACCTTCAATTTAAAGTTCTAGTATGCTGAAGGTTTGCTGAAGAAATTAATCTAACTTTGGTGATAATCCTTTCATTTTTATTTTAAGTGTTAGAATATGAAAAACATCCTCAAATGGGAAGATTTCCAGTCAACTTTGAAGCCGTCACTGAAGACGGGGAATTAATTTTGAAAGGAGGATAAGAAGCACAGAGCCCAGCTGGCTTAATCATCTTTGAGTTCTATTTTTACTTCCATAATGTAAATTTTAAGTGTAATATCAAAAGATTTTTCACAATGACTGAAAACTAGATGTTCCCATGCATGAGCTGGTTTTCAATTCTGGTGCTGAAAGACTCACCTATACAGCCACCAATTAAAAAGAAAACTAGAGCCCGTCGTTAGGTGGAGACTGGCTCCCCAAGGAAGTGAGCATGGCCACAGGGGAGCGGGTCCTGACCTGAGCAGGCTGGTCTCCCACACAGGGGCTGCGACACCTGACTAGTTCTCTGTTCCAACAGGTTCTTCAGGTAAACATTCAGTAGGAGCACGCCTGCACACACGACTGGGAGCAGCAAAGCACTTCTAACAACCAGACGACGGGACTATCAAACAGCCATGCAGGTTTCCAGCTATTCTAATTCTTTCACTGTGAAGCCAGACTTCCTTTAAGGCTTCATTCAAGGTTATTCATAAATGAAATACAAAAATCAAATCCAAACCTCTTTAAAAAGCATCTCAGTTGCACTGGAAAGTATGACTTTCCAGATTCCACATCAAAAACTCCTGTACCAAAATTCTAGCAAGAGATAAGAAACTGACCCTCCGGTTATCTAGTCACACGTCTTTATTTAAATGCACATATCTTATGCTCAGAAAGTTTTCTAGGCATACTATGAAAATTAAGAAAATCTACTGCAAGCATACTTCTTTTAAAGTAATTTTTCTAGGCCCTCAAATCTAATTTTCATTAAATCTGACACTTAAAAATATAATCTATAGAGCATAAAATTTCATAAAACAGACATTTTCCCTTTGGAGTTTCATTTATTTACTTTACCATTCAAATTTAAAATATAATTAAAATTTTTGAAAGAATATTTTGAAGAGGACTTTATCTACTTTCCTTCCTTAAGGGTCATGAAATAAGTAAAAAGCCTGACTCTGGAGTCAATTCTAGTCTCTGCTATTTTGTACTCAGATGATGTAGGCATCACTCTATGATCCTCAGTTTCTCCACATGTAAAATGGGAATAACAACTGCACTGAAATGAGGATTATAAAGATGATCTAAAGTAACACATGTAAAGTATGCTTAGCTTGGAGCTTGACAAGGAGCAATAGTGCCACGTATTTAAACACATGTCTATTCAATAGTGTGGACAAGTCAATCTCACCAGGAGTTTCCATTGCCAAGCCAAACTTCACATATGTGAGTTTCATCTTTTTCCCTTCCAACTGTCTTGTGATAATTAATACCAATTACCTACCCAAGGCAAGTCTAAATGATTATATCACAAGCATCAGACCCAGGTAACTATTTTTAACCAAGCATTCTGAGAAAGAGGAACCAGAAAGTAATCTGGAACATTACATTACTGTATGCCCTATAAAGGTAAGCAGAAAAAGAACACATGTGTGCTTGACATGATGATTTTACTGTCATTCATGCACCACTTTTGAATACTGAAGGGCATGTGGGCACCTGAAACAAAAGAAGTTACCCACAGAGAGGAAACTACCTTTTCCATGAATCTCTTTTTAAGAGTAGGAAGCACTTTTTCAAACCCAAGTTTTAAATGTTTACTTTTCAACGTTTTATGATAAACCAACCTAAATTAAAGTGATAAAAATGCTTCTAAAATCTTGGAAATAATCACTAGTTTGGTGCCTATAACACACACAAACTATATTCATTTTTACTCTACTGCTTTTACCCCCATGGTTTTAAGACAATGTACTGAATGGTCATTTGTCATTTGTTGGTGAAGGACAAGTTTCTATGATTTTAAACTCCAAAAGAGATACACATACTAAAAAAAAAAATGCATCATGAGTAATTTTTTGGAACAGATTCTAAATCAGCACTGCTTAATTAAAAAAAAAAATTTGTAGTTGTAGATGGACAGCATGCGTTTATTTATTAATTTATGTATGTATGTTTATGTAGTGCTGAGGCTCCAACCCAGTGCCTCCCACGTGCTAGGCAAGAGGTCTGCCACTGAGCTACAGTCCCAGTCCCCCTGAAAACTTTTAACGATGCAAATGCTGTTTATCTGTGCTGCCCAATACGGCAGCTACTAAGTAGCACTGCAAGTGGCTACTAAGCACTTAAACTGTGTTTAGTGTACTTGAGGAACTGGTTTAATTTAAACGATTTGTTCAAACGGCGACATGTCGCTCGTGGCTGCCATGTTGAGTAGCACAAATCTAGATTCCCTGGTCGTGAATGTCAAACCACCAACTTTAAAACAGCCACCTGCGCGCTGGAGGAGCCCCTGAAGCGAGCAGCAGGGCCCGGTAGGGACGAGACCCGSGGTCCCGTCTCGTGAGAATCGTCACCGTCGTCTCACGGAGGGGTCGGTGCGGACACCAGCAGGAGTCCGGCGCCCTCATACCTGAAGTAGGGGCTGATGGCAGCGAGGACGTTCCGGTGGCAGGAAAAGGTCTTCCCATGGTCCACTTCCACCACGATGTCCGTCAGCTGTGCCTCCTCGTACATGGCTCTGAGCTGCTTGAGGACACTGCACGCGTGGGAGGGGTCCACGGCGTCGCCGGCGGCGTCCGCAGACGGGGTCCCGTTCGGCGTCGGGGACTTACTTAGATCTAGGGAGGAAAACTGGCCGTAGGACCACGCAAGCTCCGGCCAGCCCCGCGTCCCGGGGCTCTCGGCGCGGCTCCGAGCCCGGCACCACGCACGCCGGTCCGCAGGGCCGAGAGGCCGGCCTGCGGCCAGACGCGGCGGCCTCCGCCAAATCGCGCCCGCGCCCGCCACGGGACGCGCGGCGGCACCGGCGAGGTCCGAGACCGCAGAGCCGGCTCCGCGCTGCAGCGCTACACGAGAGGCTCCCCCGCTGGTGGGTCCCGACGCCCTCCCCCGCCTCAGGCCCGCCCAGTCACCAGCCCCGACCACCTACGCACGCCCTCCATCCTGCGCCCCCGCGGTGCCCACCTGCGCACGCGGCCATGGCGCGCTGGGCCCGGCTCCAGCTCTTTAAAGAGGAAATGTCATTTCGCTTCTCTCGCTCCCGGGTTCCGGCTCTTCTAAGCTCTCCGGGCCAATGGGGTGGCCTATTAGCCTGGCTCCGCCCCCACCTCACGAACTACTGGCACTGATTGGCCACAATGGGTGAACGTGCGCGCCGGGAAATGTAGTTTCATTGTCTCGCTCCCGCGTGGTCGGTCAGGCGGGGACCAGGCCGGGGTTCCTATTGGCCGGCTGGGGCGCAGGTGGAGCGAAGGGCTGAGCCAGCCCACGCCGGGATTCCTATTGGCCGGTTTGATTGGGGGTGGAGCTCTGGGATTCGGCGGGGCCAGGACCGGATTCCTATTGGCTGGCTCGCGCGGAGGTGGAGCGCAGAGGCTGTACGGAGGCTGTGCGAAAGAACGCCGGGGTTCTTATTGGCCAGCTCGGGAGCAGGTGGAGAGATGGGTGTGTCAACAAGAAAGGATAAATTTTATTGTTTATGTGTTTCTATTTACTCATCCTGTGTTTCTGGCATCTAACAGGTGTCTGCCACCTTATTGATATTATTAAAAAGAAAAAAAAATAAAGCACAAATGAACTAGCATGGGTAATGCTAGACTTTTGAATGTAAGGGTGAGTTACCAGTGAATGGGAAAGAATTTTATTAGAGAGGGAAATCTACTTAATAAAGGATATTGGGATTTAGATTGTGATTGAGAAATGGAGAAAGACGAAAAACAATTGATTTCCGTCCACTAGAAATGGAAAGTGGCAAGTTCCCATGCAAATGTACAGGAAGGAAGTGGTGTTTCCCCTAGGCACTTAAGATTGTATGAAAATCCTTAATGCACAGTTCTGCGTGGATGAATTTCATTTAGTTTTTGATTCTGGTAACTTTAAATGCCCATTTTCTATGATTTCAATTATTAAAATAGTGATTTTGCTCACAATATTGATGGTATTAAGAAAAATGGCATAAATTATCAGGGCTCCCAGATTTAGCAAATAAATGTGCAGGATATTCATTATTAGAGACATATCTAATTGAAATATTATTTGTTGTTAATTTGAAGTTAAACTTATTGGTCTTTTCAGACCTTTTAGAAGAGGGGAATTTCTACTGAATCCTAAAGGAATTCTCAACCAATTAACCCATAGGTTTGGCAATAGTTTAATTAATTAAAAGAAAGATTTCTGATTGTTTGACCCATAAAGATTTCTAAATGTAAACAAAAAAATAGCAATTTATAACTACAAAGTTACAATTATATTTTATTTTACTTGGCAGATGGCATTGCATAGTAAAGATTTCCTTATCATTAAGATGCACTTTAAAAACAGAATAAGAAAATATCAAAATTGAGGCGACAGTCCTCTTCATTCTCAGTGATCTTCAAGAATATAAATGAGATTCTGTTTCAGGGTTGATACTAAATAGCCAGAGGCTACAGCTTTGTTTTATAATAAGGCAGCTCTAATTTCAATTTTAATAAGAACCTATTAACCGACTGTCAATCTGGAACAGCAGCAGCAACAGAAATGTGTAGTAAGTACTAGATTGTTCTCTGAAGGAATTTTCTCATGTAGTTAGAGTTTAAAGTAAATTCTACTAAGGGTGAAAACTGAAATATCAAACCAGAATATCTGAAGGACGTATATTTATTTCAAATTAGACATTTAGAATTTTATTATTATAATGTTTCTTACCAAGGAGCTAAGTGCAAAGAGAATTGCTATAATCATGGTTGGTTACCAGAAAAGAAGATATATATATATATATATATATATATATATATATATATATATATATATATATATGAATGAATATATTTAGTTTTAAGAAGTCTTTACATTTAAATTGCAGCAAAGATGAAGGACCATGAAAAGAGCAGATTTAAAACATGAGAAAATGGCACAGTTGTCCTGTTTCTTTTTCTGTTTCCATCTGAAGATAACAACTTTTTAGCAATTATAACTGTGCCTGGGCTACTGTTGATAATAATATCACACCACACAAGAATGATGGTGGCTTTGATGAAGGCAGTGTCTAAGAATATAGAACCTCACTTCTGCAAATCAATTCTGCGGTTTTCCAATTTCCCTGTTCCGTATCAGCTGAGGCTGTGAAATTGACCAGAGCTACATAAAACGAAAGTAAGGGGAATGCTGGGGAGCCCTACCTTCCACCCAATGACACCCTTATGTATTTATACTTCTCAGCCTTCAGCCACAGCCTTCTTGGTTTGCTCAGTGTGACTTTTTCCTTGCTAAAGACTTTTGTTATGACTGGATTAGTGCTTGGAAAGAAGCAACAAAAGCAACCATTTCAATATGAATTTAATATACTAGCAGATACTGAATTGTTTTTTCAACAATCTTTTAGAGCTTTACATATTGCATGTGATTTGTTTTTTAAAATACAAAGCTGTATAAATAGGTATTGACAGGAAGTTCACTGATGGGCATTTCCAAACTTATTTATTTTTTGAGAGAGAATTTTAATATTTATTTTTTATTTTTTGGTGGACACAACATCTTTATTTGTATGTGGTGCTGAGGATCAAACCCAGGCCGCACGCATGCCAGGCGAGCGCGCTACCACTTGAGCCACATCCCCAGCCCGGCATTTCCAAACTTTGTTGTGTTTTTTTAATGCCTTCTGAGGTCATGAAAGAATTCAATGTGGTAATAATTAGAAGGTTGAAGTTTGTGAATCACTAAATCTGGTCATACTGGGAATATTAAAACACATTCATTTATATTTTAAGTATTTGGAATTTAGCATATACATAAAAATGGAGACTGAAACTAGTAGCACAAATATTCAACTCCTCAAAAATATTTATTGCCCCCATGACCACCACCAGCATTCACAATAGACACTATATGAAGCAAGGTTCAGGATGGAAGGAAGAAAAGAAAGTGGCAGAAAGTAGGGGAAGTAAGTTCCTAACTTCAAGGAATTTGTAGTTGATCTATAGAGATGAAATATGTTCAAATAAAAATCAACTAGATTAGAGCCCTTGGAAACCTCTAGTCAGCACAAAGTACGTATTTCACACAATGAATGCTGAGGAGAGATCCTGTTTGGCTGGTATGGGATTTAGACTGGTCAGCACCACAGGAAGGCTGCGGAAACAGCGGGCACTTTCTCGTTCACTTTATCTTGACTTGGCCTAGAAGATGAAGAATTCACTGTTCATACTTTAATATTGATGGGACTTAGTTCAGGAATTGAAAACGGGAAAATAATTATGTGGTACCTATTTTATCTCATTTAAATTCTTGTTTTAACTTTTTAACAACTGTGTTATAAATGAGGAGAGTAAGGTCTGTGGATTTTCAATAACTTGCCCATAGTTACAGAGGGTCTTTGGCTCCAAGGCAACCCACTTTTTGTGACATACACAGGTCTCTGGAAATGATACAGTACTGGAAATGATGTGTAGTAGAATTTTCTCCACAGTAAGACATCTAGTTTTATGTCAAACACAAGGGAAACGAGTGTTGGTCATGAGTGGACAAAACTATTGGTATAGGCTTGATATTTGAATGCTCCAAGAAATTGAAGGAATGGAAAGGCTAGAGGGTAACCGCTGAAGTCACAGTGGTAAACTGTATATGTGCGTGCGTGTGTATGTGTGTGCATGTGTGCATGTGTGTGTGTGTGTGTGTGTGTGTGTGTGTGTGTGTATGATGCTTGTGTGGTGCTGGGAACTGAACCCAGGGCCTTTGATGTGCTAGGCAAGTGCCCTGCTCCTGGGCTACAACCTCATAGCCCTGCTGAACTATTTGAACTTTGTCAAACAAAACTGATAATTTTAGAGGTAGAGTAATTAAAGGTTTTTGTTTTTGCAGTACATAATATCTATACCATGTATATACACCTAATTTATTCAGTGGTATTAGAATGATTTTGAGAACCAAACCATTGTCAACCCAGGAGACATGAACACTCTTCTCTGTGTGAGCCAACGGAATATCAGAGTGGAGAACGACTGTGGTTCCCTCTAACTCCAGTCGTGGTCTGATTTTGTTAAGCTCATGGAATCACTGGGAAGCCTGACTGGAAGGACAGTTGGTGGACAGTAATCTTCAGCAAGTAGACCAAGAACCAAGGAACACAGAGCACAGGCACCAGGGTCGTGACAAGGAGCACCTTGACCATGGAGAGAGTGTGCAGCACAAGTGACCTGTGGCTGGTCCTGCAGGCCATCAGATGACACAGGACAGACACACCGCCAGGCGGGTCATGAGATTGGCAGGACAGATCCGCTGCTTGCCTGAGCCCCTCTGCAGTGTTTACCATCCACCCCTGGTTGTGCTGCACAGGCCTTCTTCATCTCCGCACTGTGATGTTTTCAGCCAGATGATGCTGTGCTGTAGCAGGCTGCCCTGTGTCATCAGATGTGTGATAGCATCCCGACCCCACGCATGAGATGCCGTAGTTCCCTCCTCTAGACACGAAACTGAAAACGTCCCCCTGGGGAGGTCGTCCTGTTAGGAACCACCGTTCACAAGACATGCCCATGTGCTCTGCGCCCTCCGTGCTGTGGGTTCTCCCACTGCACCAGTAGTTCTGGCTCAGTTTACATAGGTTCAGTGCTGTGACTGTTTAAAACCGTTTTGTTCATATCCTTTTAAAATATGCATTTCATAGAGTTCCATTAATCCCACTCCTCTGTTCATACCACCATGTCTCTTTGGCTCCTAAGTCCCATCTCTCACAGTATATAAGAACTCTTTCCTGAAATCACCAGTCTCTTCTCTCATCCTTTTCCAACTTTAAATAATACCGTTATAGATTTGATGCAGGGCCACTCAGAACCTGTCCATCTAGTCTCGTAAAACGTGTCGTGGTATTTTATGTGCTGTTGTGATGGTGTTGCACCGTGATCTCTTTGCGTTTCTTACCTCACCTGGTACCGTGTTTTTGAGATTATTTTTTATGCATATTGCTTTGTGTACAGTTGCTTTTCCTCTTTGCATTCCCATCAGCCACTCACTGCCTGGCATATGTAAGACTCAGTGGAGTTCCCATAGTGGGGCTGGAGGTGTG